GCTTGGTTCCTGTTCTGCAAGTCAATGTAGAAAGGGCATTTTCTGGACTGAAATTTATTTTGTCACTTCAGTTGTCAAAATATGACTGACAGTTCTGGAGGAAGTTTTACTTATGCGTACAAATAACTTGTTTTAAAACAATTTTTCTATAAGGAAATATTTATCATTGTATTCTTTTGCTAGAAGTTACAAGCATAATGCAAGCATAAGTGTGTGTGACATTAATCTGCAGGAAATGTACCTGAACTGGTTCAAACAGGTTCAACGTGATTGAAATGGTTATCAAACCATCATTCTAAGTTAGTGTCTGAACCAGAACCGAACTAAAATGTTAAAACATGTTGATGAACCTGAGCCACAAGTGACCTGCAATTTTTAATACAGTAGTTCGACTCCCTGATTTCTCACATAATTAGTTTAACTGGCACATTTCTGTTTCCCCTGGACTGCACCAATAATGTGGATTTTAATGAAATACTCCTCTTTCCTATATTCCTAGCTGTTTTAAATACACTAAATTATGAATGAATTTCTATTTACATTAGCATTATTTTAGCCAAAATATAAAGACCACTTATATACCAGTTACAGCACATTGGGATGCCTGCATTCCGTCAGTACACCAAATGGTTGTTTGCTTTAAGTTGCAGTGACTTATAGTAATGGAATATATTGAAAGGATACAAAATAACCTGTCCCTTGTTCAAAATTCCTGACATCTTAACATTGTCTATTGCGCCAAACAGTGCTAATGACAAACAGATGGAGTCATCCATCTCTTTTTATGGGACACAAGGAATACAACATTCAGTCTTACATCAGCAATTTAACATTGGCATGGGACTTTGAGGAAATTTGGGAAGAAAGAAGGTATTTTATAGCTAGTGGCACAGCATAGTACTTACAATTAAGCAATTAGAATATATTTCAGAAGAGATGCTTTTAAAAATACATATATATGGAGATCAACACATTTTTCCAAAATCAAAACAGTCAAATATGTCAGACAGTCTGTTTCTATTTACTCTGTTGCCCTTGATTTATAACTTGGGCTGTATTCATACACTATTTATATTAGAACGATAAAATGTTGTCTTAACTAAACTAACAATTATTTAGAAACAAGCAATTTTGGACAATTGGGGAGGTCATGCAGACCGCCCAACGGCATTTTCCAGCAGACACACATCAGACATGTACAATGGTTGACATTAAAAGTCAGCATTTCACATCAGTTAGAACACAGTGGTATTTAAGACTATAACAATTTCCCTCTATACTTAGATAGGTGATATCTGTAATAAACTGTGTGGGTAAATGTGGATTTTTAATGCCTTCTGCTGTAGCATGCAATCTGTTTAAACAACTGTGTGATTAGGTCTATCATCCTGATTAAATTCAATGTGTTACCATCTTACATACAAAAGGAATACACTTTTTGCACCTAGGGTAATTTGCCAGTTTTGCATTACAAAAAAGATAGTTGTCCTATTTCTCTCCCGTACTCTGTGCATCTTTCATTCCCTGTTCACATTCTTGTTCCACTTGATTTAATCTAACCTGCTTTTGCTTGCTTCACCCAGGAATTTGGTTGGTTGTGAAGAAATTCCTAAACAGAAGAAACTCTGCCTACAAAATACTTATTAGGAGATGGGTCTATGTATACAGCTCTGGCCCTGATAATACTCTGTCTGGGATGGCTCTGAAAGAGGCATGAGCTGAAGAGGCTGAAACTGCTTCTATTAGACTGGTCACAGCCTTTTTAGTTTGTGCATATATAATCTCACTTATCACTGGTCAGTGTGAAGCTTTCTCTAGTGAGCATGTGCATCTAAATGTCAATTTCTGTAGAATTTACGCTTTTATTTAAGAACAAAAAATTAAGTTTCTAGTATCTAGTTTCTAGTAAATTAAGATAACCTTCTCAAAGGAGAACTTGTAAACGAATGCAATTCAGTCTTGAGTCTGCAGATAGATGCAGGTCTCCTCTGCTGCTCATATCTTTGCGAAGCACAGCTCTTATTCAGAACCATGTGGCCACTGACCGCTCTCTGCTTGCTCCATGTGAGGCACTTTGCAGCCACAGGTTCCACAAGTATTCACTGGGAACTCAGAGCTCTGTTTTGCTGATTTGAGGGTAGATTAGAGTTTCAATAGAATCCAGATGGACAGGCTTACTTCTGTTCTATTCAAATTCTTATATGGCCTCCATCACGTCTAAATAGCCAATACAAACTGATGGCAGTTAAAGATGTGTAGCTGGTTATTATAAAGGGACCAACTTTAACACGACCAGTTTTATCTGTCCAAATTTCTCCACCGAGTCTAGTACAACCAAAAACAAAGAAGAGTTTCACTGAAGTGAAATTACAAAAATAGGGATATGACCTTGTCTGCTATTTCTGTACTGAATCCCAATGTGTATTGATTGCATGTTGAGTTCTCCAAATGCAAAGGAACAGCAGGATTCAGTTTGCTATTAAAAACTTTTAAAATAATACCTGAAGATTTGAACAGAGCATTCCTTTTGTTCCCGAGGCAAAACTCTCATTGACTCAGTGGCGGATTTACTTTTTTTTCAGCCCCCAACATGGTGTCACAAACAAGCTGTCCAATAGTTGGATATCATGGTGTCTGATATGCTTGTAGAATCATAAGAGGGGTGTGATGGAGGAACAGGGCAGAGGGATACATACATACAGTTTCACAGGGATCCCCTGGGTCAGATATATGCACAATGTGTCACTAAAGGATGGTGTGAGTTCTCTACCAACAGCCAGTAGCCCACTGGTCATCATAATCATTGAGAAATGTCTGTACTGATGATAATTACTATGAAGTTATGTGCACATGCTGAAAATTATGTTAAGGCAGTATCCAGAAGGTGGCATGTCTCAGAAGGTTCCTTTTAGGCAGGGGGTAACAGACATTTATCCTCCCGTCTGGTCATTGTGTGTTCCAGTATATGCCTATTTGCAGCCTGAGCCACATGCTGATAAAGTGTTTGTGAAATCTACAAGGAAGGAGTATACAGGAAATAACCACTTTATGAACAAGGACAATGGATTGTTCTAATATATCTGGAGTGCAAACAGGCACCTGGGACCTTTCACTGAGAAGACAGCTGACAGAGTGACTTGTCTTATGAATGGAGGGTCACTGCCAAACTTGGCTGTAAAAAGGTGGAAAGACTTCAGGTGAGCACTGCTCTGTAAGACAGGTAAGTAGCTAAGTAAGTAAGTCTAGTTCTACAATGCGTGTTATATTTTTCTATAGGCAACCATTTGTTTCCAATTTGTCTACTTGCTATCACTTGTATCTCTATACACTAAATAAACTTTTACTTGTTTTCACTAATGAGATGTCTCACAGCCCAGGGTACACTTGGGAAGTGTCACAAGGGAGTCTAAAAAGGGAAATGAATCTCTTAACATAAAACATCCAATTCAAAGAAACTACTGATGCTTATTTTCACCCACTTTCCCTTATTGCTGTAACTGAAATCTTACTATTGTAGCCTGTGTAGATTTTCTTCACTGCCTAGCAGGTGCTAACAATGTTTTGCTGAGAAAATAAGCAAAAGGAGGGGAAAACACTCTGTAATATAACATGGGGCCTACACGGTACTCTGCAGCTGTGGTTAGTTTATTTGTTTAGAGAGCTAGGAAACAAAATACAAATCAACATTTAGACTTGTGTTAACAGCTCACAAAACAAGAAATAACATTTAACAGACTCAAAATACAGCAAACCAAGCTTCAAAAATTATTTTAGAGAAAAAAGCACCAAGGATCAAATCTTGTTTCCACTGAAGCTAACACAAGTTTGGACTTAATGGTGAATATTAAGAATTTGTGCCCTCCTCCCCAAAAAACCCACATCCCCAATATAGTAGGAGGTCTCCACTGCAAAAAAGAGGCTCAAGGTCTGCAATGAAAAAAATGTAGGCACAAAGTTGTGTCTGTATCTTTTTGCACACCTCAGTGTGTGTAGAGAGAGTCCCGATATTACGGTTTAAATCACCCACCCCTTGTATGGCTGATCCAGAGCACAGTGGAATAACTGGAAAGGAACCTATTGACTTCAGTGGACAAAGTAGTAGTATATACATTGGAAAAGACTAGCTTGAAACTTATTCATTTCTCTCAGTCCAGAGGATACTCTGGAACAGTGGTTCTCAAACTAGGGCCGCCGTTTGTTCAGGGAAAGCCCTTGGCGGGCCAGGCCGGTTTGTTTACCTGCCGCGTCCGCAGTTTCAGCCGATCGCAGCTCCCAGTGGCTGCAGTTCGCCGCTCCAGGCCAATGGGGGCTGCGGGAAGCGGCGCGGGCCGAGGAATGTGCTGGCCACCCTTCCCGCAGCCCCCATTGACCTGGAGCAGCAAACCGCGGCCAGTGGGAGCCGCAATTGGCCGAACCTGCGGACACGGCAGGTAAACAAACCGGCCCGGCCCGCCAGGGGATTTCCCTGAACAAGCGGCGGACCGGCTTTGAGAACCACTGCTCTAGAACACAGTCCCTGTTCGCCCTGTGAAAGAAAAGTAGGGGCAGCCGTGCCAGAGTGGGGATTTTCAAAATGATCCTCAACATTTACCATCCAGGCACAACATCATCTGTTCCCCCACTGTTTGCTGTGATGATTGATGATAATGAAAAAAACTCCTTGGGCTGCATTCTGTGGTCTGCTACAGCAGTGCCAAGTGGATGAAAACTTAACAAAAATGGCCAAGAGAACATTCCTCTTGCAGTGAGGAAAGCTTCACTGACATAAAGCTGGCATAGAGCGTGTTGGAAGAGAGAGGTAGTGTGACAGGAATGACCAAGGGCCCTGCATCTCACCTGATCATCAGATTGTGGTATGCAAACAACATTTACTCTTTGGATTTAATGCTCATGCTTTGTATATTTGCATTTAACATTCTAGTCAGCATTCCCATCTCTACTATCTCTATTTTCCACTTTCTTGCATCAGAAAATTTAGATGGTTGAGTTTGGTCACTCACCCATAATGTGTAGGATCCCCTGCGACTGCCCGGAAAAGTCAGCATGCTCTGATCTGAAACAGCAACAGATGCCAGACCGCTGCTTCTGGACTGTGGCCAATTAAAATCAGCCTCCGCCTGCTCAGCTTTACTTTTTTGCTTTCTTATAATCTGTAGGGTTGAAATAGAGAGAGAAAAAAAAAGGTTACTGGAAAGTACTGCCAGAGCCATATGGCTCAAAATGCATTGGCTGTGTCAAGATGAACAGCGTGGAATAGAAAGTTTGAGTTTCCTTTAGCTTCGGCCCCAGCTAATTCAAGTTTGATCTTCACAACCTGCACTTATTTCTTCTTATCTGAAGTCAGAGGATTTGCAAGTGCATAAGAGAGTTACAATAAAGTCATTATCTAATATCTGTAGGAACACCAGAGCTGAATTAAAACAATATGGAAATCTATACCCCACCAATGGTACTTAATGTGATCTATATCTGGAAGCCAAGTATACGTTTTCTAAGAATAAGAATGCATAAGTAGATGAATATTGGTATGGAATCATAGAATAAAGGATATGGGCTTGATTTCAAAAGTACACCTAACTCCTATTGACTTTTAACGGGAGTTAGGTGCTTAAGCACCATTTCCTTAGATTCATAGATTCTCAGGCTGGAAGGGACTACTGTGATCATCTAGTCTGATTTCCTGCATAACACAGGCCATTGAACTTCTCTGAATTTATTCCTGTTTGAACAAGAGCATATGTTTTAGAACAACATCTCATCTTGATATAAAAATTGCCACTGATGAAAAACCACTTCAGCCCTTGGTAAATTGTTCCAATGGTTGACTGTTAAAAATGTACACCTTATCTCCCGGTCTGAATTTGTATAGTTTCAACTTCCAGCAATTGGATTATGTTAAGTCTTTGTCTGCTAGACTGAAGAGCCCATTTTCTAATATTTGTTCCCCATGGAGGTACTTGAAGACTATAATCAAGTCACCCCTTAATCTTCTCTTTGTTAAACGGAACTGGTTGATCTCCTTGAGTCTAAGGGTATGTCTACACTGGCAGAGCTACATCGCTGGCAGCTATATCGCCACTCAGAGAGTGCTGAAGGGAAACTGCTGTTGTGTGTTCACACTGTCAGCTGCCTGCGCAATAGCGTGTTCACACTTGCGGCACTTGCAGCGGTATTTGGAGCAGTGTACTCTGGGCAGCTATCCCACAGAGCATCTCTTCCTCTTCTGCCACTAAGAATTGTGGGAAGGCGGAGGTGGTAGCAGGCATCCTGGGTCTTGTCCCAATGCCCTGTGATGCATTGCTTCGCATCCCAGCAATCCCTGTGCTTCTGTCCACATTCGGCGCCATCTTTCAACGGTTTGTGTACTGCACGCTCTGCCTCTTCGGTCTGCAGGAATGGACCCCGCCCTGTTGACCAATATGCTGCTCGCTCTGACTAACACATCACGAGTTACAGTGGAGTTATTCCTTAAACTACAAAGGCAAGAGTTGTACATTGATCTCGCCACATGTAGTAGCTACGACATGAGATTGCTTGTGGCATTCCTGGAGGCAGTGACCACAGTGGAGCGCCGCTTTTGGGCTCGGGAAACAAGCACTGAGTGGTGGGATCACATCGTGATGCACGTCTGGGATGAAGAGCAGTGGCTGCAGAACTTTCAGATGAGGAAAGCCACATCCATGGAACTGTGTGATGAGCTCACCCCAGCCCTGCGGCGCAAGGACACGGAAATGAGAGCTGCTCTGTTGTTGGAGAAGCACATGGCAATTGCACTGTGGAAGCTGGCTACTCCAGACAGCTACCTATCAGTCGCTAACCAGTTCGGAGTGGGAAAGTTGACCTTTGGACTCATGTTGACGGAAGTGGGCAGGGCCATTAATCACATCCTGCCCTGAAAGACCGTGACTCTGGGCAACATGTGTGACATTGAGGATGGCTTTGCACAAATGGGCTTCCCTAACTGTGAAGGGGCAATAGATAGCACTCACATTCCAATTCTGGCACCAGACCACCTAGTCACCAAGTACATTAATCGGAAGGGGTATTTCTCTATGGTTCTCCAAGTGCTTGTGGATCACCGTGGGTATTTCACGGACATTAATGCAGGCTGGTCCAGAAAGGTGCATGACGCACACATCTTTTGGAACACTGCCCTGTTTAGGAAGCTGCAACCAGGGACTTTCTTCCCGGACCAGAAAATCATCGTAGGGGAAGTCGAAGTGCCCACTGTAATCCTGGAAGACCCTGCTTACCCCTTAACGCTGTGGCTTATGAAGCCATACACGGGGAACCTTGACAGCAGCAAGGAGTGGTTCAAAAACAGGCTGAACAAGTACAGAATGACTGTTGAGTGTGCTTTTGAACGTTTAAAGGCCCACTGGCACTGCCTATATGGGAGGTTGGACCTGGCTGATGACAATATTCCTATGCTTATAGCCGCGTGCCGTACGCTCCATAATATTTGTGAAGGGAAAGGTGAAAGCTTCACTCAGGGCTGGACCACTGAGGCTCAGCACCTGGAGGCTGAATTTGAACAGCCAAAGACCAGGGCTATTAGAGGGACGCAGCATGGGGCCACAAGGATCAGGGATGCCTTGAGGCAGCAATTTGAAGCTGAAAGCCACTAATATTTGTTGCTATGCTCAGGAGTGCAGTGCTTGTAATGCTGGGAGGTGATTGTGATTGGTGCAGACGATGCATTGTGAAGGTTTAAGAAAATTGCCTGTTGCTTTACAGAGCTCCGTTTGCTTTCAATTAATGGAATAAAGATTGCTTTCAAACCAAAACAATTCTTTTATTAAAAAACAACAACTGGAGGACAGAGACAAACAAAAGAACACATCAGCACTGTGGGGATGGCGGAAGGGAGGGTCCCAGACAGAGGTGGAGTCCCGGGATGGTTAAAGATTTGTGTATGTCCAGGTATCATATGCAACCTTGTCCACAGGGCTGCACTGTGACGGGGCAGGAATGGAAAGCAGTGGGTACAGACTGGAGTCAGGAGGTTAAGAGTGTGTTGGCGGTGTCTGGGGGGTACACGGGAAAGAGTTTTGTGACAGCGGCTGCAGGGGAGGGTGGGAGTGGAGCTGCTTGGTTTGCAGTGCTAGTAGCGCCTGGAGCGTGTCCGCTTGGCACTCCATAACATTTAAGAACTGCTCCATGGCTTCGTTCTGGCGTGCCACTTTCTCCTTTCGGTCCCTCTTCTCGCTGTCTCACTACTCCTTCAATTCTTGTTTTTTGGCCGCAGCGTGCATCATGACATCACACAGAAAATCCTCTTTAGTTCTTCGTGGCCACTTTCTAATTCTGCGCAGCCGTTCAGCCGGCGATAACAAAGAGGGAGGCTGGGCTCCCAAGGTCATCTCTGTGAAGCCAAAATGCAACATTTTACAGAAGCAGTATTGTTTGCAACCCACAGACCATTGATTCAGTGATTTAAAACACAGCCGCTATTCACATACCTGTCACTAACTGGCTGACCCCAGGCAAGCACACATGAGCCACAAGGCCCCCAAAATGGTGAGTAACTGCGGGGGCTGGGGAAATCACTGTTCCAGGACCGTACTGTACACTGGGCACGTGGCTCTTGGGGAGAGCCAGCATTGTAGGAAGGGCCTTATAATCATTACTGTCCCCACATTTTCCACAGGCTGTGTTCATTATGGAAGATATCTTGCTGCTGAGGGTGAGCAGGGAATCGAGGGAGGGTCTTCCCCATACTGCAGCTTCTGCCCTGGCCCTTATGTGGCTCCCCTGTGTGCAGCAATGGTCCCTGCCCCCGTGACGGCAGAGTGGCGCAGGAAAGTTACCCTTAATGGGACAAAGCAGCTCTGCCAAAGAACCTGCGGCAGTGGATTGCCCAGTATCTCCATGAGAGTTTCGTGGAGATCTCTGAGGCAGATTCCCGTGAAGTGAGCGAATCAATCAACACCCTGTTCCGCCTAGGCATGTGGTGGTAAGAGCATCATACAGACACAAGCCTGCTTTCTGCAACCCTCCTGCCCCCAGCAACTTGCTTCAGCAATTCCCAAGATCAAAGCCACTTACCAGGGGCCTCCTCTCCTGTTTGTGCTTTGCCAAGATCTGACAGCTGTGACTGGCTGGCCTTCTCCGGGGTAGAGAAGAGCTCCTGGCTGCATGCATCTCTGACCTCCGAGTCGTCCTCTGCCTCTGGGTCCCTCTCCCACTCCACATCCTCATCCAGGATTTCCTCTTCCTGGCTCAGTCCACTCTCGACTGGCACGCGAGCCACCAAAGCATCCACTCCAGATCTTTGTAGAACTGGCAACTCGTGGGCGCAGCACCGGAGCAGTGGTTTGCCTCCTGTGCCTTTTGGTAGGCGTTCCGCAGCTCCTTCACTTTGACCCTGCACTGCACTGATCATGGCCCCTTTCTGTCATGCATCATGAAATCTGTCCATAGGTAACATAATTCCTACGGCTGGAGCGCAGCTGGGACTGGACAGCCTCCTCTCCCCAAATGCTGATGAGGTCCAGCAGCTCGGCATTGCTCCAAGCGGGGGATCACCTGGTGCGTGGAGCAGGCATGGTCACCTGGAAAGATGCACTGAGACCACTGCATGCGTCATCAAGCAAACAGGAAGGGGACTTTGAAAATTCCCAAGGAATTTAAGAGGTGGGGCTCACGGTTGGTCACCTGAGGGCAGGGCAGTGGAGTTCAAATCACAGCATTGTGGGACACCTCCCGGAGGCCAATGACAGCGCTGTAATCTACCACCGTGTCTACACTGGCACTGCACCACTGTAGCCCCGACGCAGAAAGCTGTACGCCTCTTGTTGGGGTTGTTTTTTTATAGCGCTGCAACTGTGCAGTTTCTGCGCACTAAGTGCCTTGGCAGTGTGTATACCTCAGGAGTTACACCACAGAAAGCTGCTTTACTATGCAGAAACTTGCCAGTGTAGACAAGGCCGAACACTGTAAGGCACAGTTTCAATTCCTTTAATCATTCTCGTGACACTTCTCTGAACCCTCTCCAACTTTTCAATATATTTCTTGAATTGCAGACACCAGAACTGGACACAGAATTCCAGGAGTGGTCACACCAGTGCCAAATACAGAGAGAAAATAACCTCTCTACTCCTATTTGAGATTCCCCTGTTTATTCATCCAAGGAACGCATTAGCCCTTTTGGGCACAGCGTTGGACTGGGAGTTCATGTTCAGCTGATCATCCATCATGACCCTCAAATCTTTCAGAGTCACTGCTTTTCAGAATACAGTCCCCCATCCTGTAAGCATGGCCTATGTTCTCTGTTCTTAAATGTATCCATTTAGCCATATTAAAACACATATTGTTTGCTTGCATCCAGTTTATCAAGCAATCCAGATTGCTCTGTATTGGTGACTTTTCCTCTACATTATTTACCACTCTCCCAATTTTTGTGTCATCTGAAAATTTTATCAGTGATGATTCTGTTGGGATATGTTAGGTTTAAGTAAAGACCTGGGAAACTGCTGGTATGCTGCCATGGCATTAGGGAAGAAAGGCACAGACAGGCAGTATTTCTTTGTTTAATAAATAAGTTGCCATATTTTTCCCTTCCCTGTTGCTTGTTGAGAATTGATAAGCCTTGCAGCTGCATAAGAAATGTAGTTGTCTAAAAAAATACCCTTTGTGTAAAAGAAGGGTTATCTCCCCCTCCCTTCTTTCCCAGCTACACAAGAGAGCCCTGGGTCATTGGCCCCTTCCTCCCTCCCCTGAGAACTGCTGATTAAAGAAATTTGTAGCAACAAATTATTGCAAAGAAATGTATTTTCAAGGTAAAAATGCCTGTATAACATGCGTAATGTTGTGAACAATATAGAGGGGTGGATATACTAATTGTATGGGTGTTTCTATTACTTAATAAGCGTTTTTCGGGTGTTGTACCAGATGTAGGCATTTACATACTAACTTAAATAAAAGGAGTGTGCTGTAACTAATCCAGTACTTACTCGACAATTGGGTCGAGGGGAACAAGTATCGCAATAAAGGATCCCATCTAGTCAATCCGCCTCTGGGTCAACCTGCTCCTTCTTCTAACAGATTCTATGTTTTCTTCCAGGTCATTAATACTAATGTCAACTAGTATGGGGCCAAGAACTGCGGGCCTCCACTAGAAATACATCTACTTAATGATGATTCCCCGTTTACAATTACATGTTGAGACCTATCAGTTAGCCAGTTTTTAATCCATTTAATAGGTGCCATGTTAATTATATATTGTTCTAGTTCTTTATCAAAATGTTATATGGTACCACGCGAAATGCCTTAAAGAAGCCTAAGTATATTACATCAACCCTATCACCTTTATCAGCCAAACTTGCAATCTTACCAAAAAAAGATTTCAAGTTAGTTTGACAGGTTCTATTTTCTATAAACCCATGTTGATTGGAATTAATTATTTTACCCTCCTTTAATCAAGGCTTGCGTCAGCTGCTCCATTATCTTGTTTGGGGTCGATATGAGGCTAACAGAACTATAATTACTATAGTTGCGTTTACTATTTTAAAATATTGGCACAACATTAGCTTTCTTTTAGTCTCCGAGAACTTCCCCAATGTTCCATGAGTTTTGAAAATCAACATTAATACTAAACGATCTGTTCGGCCACCTCTTTTAAAACTCTTGGTAAATTGTCCGGAGCTGCTGATTTAAAAATGCTCAGTTTTAGTAGCTGCTGTTTAACATCTTCCCGAGTGGAATGGAATGGAAAGTGTTTCACCATCATCTGATAAGATCACATCATCTGTTCCCCCGCTGTCCCCCCCAATACAGAACAGAAATATTCATTGAACACCATGGTCTGTTCTGCATTATTATTGACAATTCTATCGTTCTGCATTATTACTGACAATTCTACCATTTTCATTTAGTCATGGACCAATACCATAGTTAGGATTCCTTTTGTTCCTAATATACTTTAAAAATCCCTTTGTTTAGGTCCTTAACTCTGCTAGCCACTGATTTTCCCTTCTGTCTTTTTGCGTTCCCTATTGTCTGTAATTGCTAGCTTCTGATTTATATTCATTACTGTGAACTTCCTTTTTTGTTCATTTGTTATATATATTTTTATAGCTACCTTCACTTCCCCCCTAAGTGTTTGAAAATGTACCTTTGAAAATCTACTTCATCTGCAGACAAAAAAAGATTGAGTAGTTTATCTAATCCATCTCCCTGCAAGTGTAGGATTGTTCTCTGTAATACTTGAGCTCGGTGCAATATTTTTGACACAAATTCGCCAAAGAGATTCAGCCAGAAGGGTTTTTTCAGGCTAGATTCAGAAAGGCACTTAGGTGCTATTCGTAAAACAGCAAGAGGAGGAGGAGACGACCTGTTACCCAATAGCCCACTGGTTAGGGCACTCATCTGCAATATGGGAGCCCCCATACAGGCAGATTAGGTATCTGAACCCCAGTCTACCACCTTCCAGGTGAATGCTCTAGCCACAAGGCTATAGAGGAGAACACGCTCCCCTGTCCTCTTCCAATGACGTTTCCAAATTTCCTTTGTTTTAATTTTAAAAAGCAGTTAAAAGTGCCTAAAATCAAAGCAAAATGTTTCATTTGACCCCACATGAAATTTTTGGTGCTTTGTTTTGCCAAGAAATTTTTTCATTTCAGATCGCTCAGGAACAATTTTTTCCCTCGATTTCTCGCACAGCTCTATGTAATGTATGTGTATGCACATTTCCCTGTCTGATTTGTAATGGTCTTTGGGAAATTATTCTATAGTGAAACAGATCTCATCGACAGGCAGCTTTTGACAAACCTGCCAACAGTTCCAATTTGTCTGGGGTGGTCCAGGTTTTTAAAACCTATTCAGGAGAATCAGTCTTCTGACCAATTTCCCAGGAGCTGCTGCAGCAGGAGGCAGGATATTTTCCATTGAGCTGTTCCTCTCCTGGATATTCTTGTCATCCACACGTACACATTCAATCCTTTTCTGATATGTATCATCTTGCGTGAGTTAAATCAAACCTTGATAGACTACAGGGCTGTCTTCTAGCCATTTAATATTCCAAAGAATACAATTCGCAACAGCAAAGCTGCATCACATACCTTCTGCACTATGGTAGTGGCAAGCTCTTCAATCAGTTCCTCCTTATGTTCCCGTAAATAACAAGCCTCGTTCTGTTTGTCCTGCACAAAGATACAATTTATAAATACTACAGAGTCACATTTGAGTGGTATTTTTACAAGATCAATATAAAAATAAAAATGAGTAACATCCTACTTCGCATTGTATGCAGAAAGAACTGAATGTAAATAACTCTAATTTATTGGAATATCCTGTATTTCTGAAGTGGAACATGCGTGCTATCTTGATGATAACTTTCAGAGAAACAGCACACAATTCTTTTAGCTAATGCAGTAAGCTAATTCATCACTGCATTACGTTTTCTTTGATTTTCACTCACCTTTCCACTATTACTTGAATAAAGAAAAAACTGATCTATATAAGCCAGCTGAATGTTATTAAAATTTTTTTACCAGGCTTTCACCATATGTCTCTGCCTTGGAAATGGCTTCTTCTACTGCTTCTTCTGCCACACGTAAGGCCACAGCTAGGGTGTCCATCATACTATGTCCTAGTCAAAAAGCAAACAAAATACCCACATTTATGCTCAGCTGCAAAATTCAGACCAAGATTCTTCAGCTTCAGTAATTCTTAGATCTAGGATTTTGGTATAGTCTACTGCAGAGATGCAGAGCCAGACCTCAATCCCAAGCTTATCAAGATGCACAGGAACATAAGAATGGCCATACTGGGTCAGACCAATGGTCCATCTAGCCCAGAATCCTGTCTTCCAACAGTGGCTGGTGCCAGATGGTTCCGAGGGAATGAACAGAACAGGACAATTAGCAAGAGCCATCCCCCGTTGTCCACTCCCAGCTTCTAGCAGTCAGAAGTTCAGGGACACTCAGAGCGTGAAGTTGTATCTTTGACCATGTTGGCTAATGGCCATTAATGGACCTATCCTCTACCAACTTCTTTAATGTTTTTTTGAACCCAGTTGTACTTTTAGCCTTCCCAAATTCCCTGGCAATGAGTTCCAGAGGCTGACTGTATGTTCTGTGAAGAAGTACTTCCTTATGTTTGTTTTAAACCTGCTGCCTATTAATTTCATTGGGTGACCCCTGGTTCTTGTGTTATAAGAAGAGGTAAATAACACTTTCTTATTCACTTTCTCCACACTAGACTTGATTTCACAGACCTCTATCATATCCCTTTTTAGTCTTCTCTTTTCTAAACTGAACAGTCCCAGTCTTTTTAATCTCTCCTCATAGAGAAGCTGTTCCATACCCCTTATTATTTGTGTTGCCTTCTTCTGTACTTTTTCCAATTCTAATATACATTTTTTAGGTAAGGTAACCCGAACAGCACGCAGGATTCAAGATGGATTTATATAGTGGCATTATGACATTTTATGTATTATTATCTATTTGTTTCCTAATGGTTCCTAACATTGTTAGCTTTTTTGCGTGCTGTTGCACATTGAATGGAAGTTTTCAGAGAGCTATCCACAGTGATTCCAAAATCTCTTTCTTGAGTGGTAAGAGCTAATTTAAACCCCATCATTTTATATGTATAGTTGGTATTATATTTTCCAATGTGCATTACTTTGCATTTATCAACATAGAATTTCATCTGCCATGTTGTTGTCCAGTTTTGTGAGATCACTTTGTAACTCTGCAGTCTGCTTTGGACTTAACTATCTTGAGTAATTTTATGTTGTCTGGAAACTTTGCCAACTCACTGTTTACTCCTTTTTCCAGATTATTTATGAATATGATAACCTGCACTGGTCCTAGTATAGATCTTTGGGGGTCCGGTTATTTACCTCTCTCCACTGTGAAAACTGACCATTTATTCCTACTCTTTGTTTTCTATACTTTAACCAGTTATTGATCCATGAGAGAACCTTCCCTCTTATCACATGAATGTTCACTTTGCTTAAGAGCCTTTGGTGAGGGACATTGTCAAAAGCGTTCTGAAAGTCCAGGTACGCAATATCAACTAGATCACCCTTATTCATGTGCTTGTTGACCACCTCAAAGAATTCTAATAGATTGGTGGGGCATGATTTCCCTTTACAAAAGGTGTGTTGACTCTACTGTGTTCATCTATGCATCTAATCATTCTGTTCTTTATTATAGTTTCAACCAATTTCCCTGGTACTGAAGTTAGGCTTACTGGCCTGTAGGTGCCAGGATCGCCTCTGGAGCCCTTTTTTTTAAAAAAATCAGCATTACATTAGATATCCTACAGTTATCTGGTATAGTGGCTGATTTAAGGAATAGGTTAAATACAACAGTCAGTAATTTTGCAATTTCGTATTTGAATTCCTTCAGAACTCTTGAGTGAATACCATCTGGTCCTAGTGACTTCTTAGTATTGAATTTATCAATGTGTTTCAAAACCTCCTCTATTGACACCTCAATCTGGGACAGTTCCTCAGATTTGTCACCTACAAAGAATGGCTCAGGTGTGGCAATCTCCTTCACATCCTCTGCAGTGAAGACCAATGCAAAGAATTCATTTAGCGTCTCTGCAATGGTCTTGCCTTCTCTGAGTGCTCCTTTAGAACCTCAATCGTCCAATGGCCCCACTGACTGGGAGGCTACCTGCTTCTGACGTACTTTAAAAAAATTTTGCTGTTAGTTTTTCTGTCTTTTGCTAGTTGCTCTTCAAATTCTTTTTTGGCCTGCCTAATTATACATTTACACTTGACTTGCTATAGTATATGTTCTATTCTATTTTCCTCAGTAGGATTTGACTTTCAATTTTTGAATGCTTGCAGGCATTTCACTCGTGACTGTTCCTTTTAATTTCTGTTTAACTAGCTTCCTCATTTTTGTGTAATTCCCGTTTCTGAAGTTAAATGTTACTGTGGTGGGTTTCATTGATATTTTTCCTCCAAAAGGATGTTAAATTTAATCACATTATGGTCGCTTTTACCAACCAGTTCAGCTATATTCACCTCTTGGACCAGATCCTGTGCTCCACTTACGCCTAATCAAGAACTGCCTCTCCCCTTGTGGGTTCCAGGACTAGCTGCTCCAAGAAGCAGTCATTAATGGTGTCTAGACATTTTATCTCTGTATCATATCCTGAGGTGACATGTTCCCAGTTGAAATCCCCCATTATTAATGAGTTTTCTGTTTTTGTAACCTGTCTAATCTCCCTGAGTATTTCACAGTCACCATCACCACCCTGGTCAGGTGGCCAGTAGTACATTCCTACTGCTGTGCTCTCATTTTTCAAGTGTGGAATTTCAATCCATGGAGATTCCATGTTACAGTTTGAGTCATTTAAGACTTTTACTATATTTGACTCTATGCTTTTTTCACATATATTGCCACCTCCCCTCCCTCAGTCAGTCATTGCTACTGTATATATTTTGTATGTGTCCCATTGCTTTTCATAGTTCCAGCAAGTTACTGTGATGCCTATTCTATAAATATCCTCATTTAATATCAGGCACTCAAGTTCACCCATTTTAGTATTTAGACTTCTTGCATTTGTACACAAGCACTGATAAAATTTTTAAGTATTTAGTTGTCTGACTTCATGTGATGTAATTGAATACGAATCTTTTTTGTTTCACTGTTTCTCTTCATTTCCTGCCTGTACTTTATCAACTTCTAGCCTCTCCTCCTTACTAGGCTATGGAGTATCCCCAAGGGACGTCTGTCTGAACTGTGTGCTCCTCTGCACCTGTCAACTTTCCCCCCAGCCTTAGTTTAAAAACTCCTTTATAACCTTTTTAATTTTACATGCCAGTAATCTGGTTCCATTTTGGTGTAGCTGGAGCACATCCTTCCTGTATAGGCTCCTCCTTTCCCAAAAGGTTCCCCAGTTCCTAATAAACCTAAATCCCTCCTCCAAACATCATCCTCTTATCCACGCAAAGATACTCTACAGTTCCGCCTGTCTAACTGGCCCTGTGCGTGGAATTGGAAACATTTCAGAGAAGGCTACCATGGAAGTCCTGGACTTAAATCTCTTACCAAGCAGTCTAAATTTGACCTCCATGACCTCTCTCTCCTACCTTTCCCTATGTCATTGCACATGCACCTTGATTCTCAGAACCATGATGATGAGCATTGGCATAAACATCTCAATAGACAGAAAAAATGTTGGGTGGTCTGTACCCATTTCTATATTCTGCCTCTCTGGCATGTCTATGTGCCCTGCAGTTCAGATTATGGGGGTGTGGCAGCAGTGCTCACCAAAGTGCTGCACTGTAAATCCCCCATGTGGACTTTGTAGGCGTGAACTAAAATGTTCCTAGTTTGCATTAACTTAGTCCTCTTCAAACAGGGCTACATTAATGCAAAGTAGGAACCTTTTGTTCGCGCCTGCAGCATTCACACAGGGGAGTTATAGTGCAGCACTTTGGTGTGCACTGCTATTCACACCCCTGTAATCCAAACTGCCAGACATTTCCGTAAAAATACAGTATTGACAGAGGCTACTAACTTTCTAAACTTAAATAATACATAACTTACAATTTTACATAGAAAAACACAATATTTCTACAAAATCCATTTAGGGATACTAACAATGTGCTTACTTTAGTTGGGTAGTTATGTTGAGAGGAATGTTTGTAACAGAATTTAACAAAACTGAGACCTATATGAAAAACAAGTGTGTATGAGCATTAGGGGAAAATCATGTGAGAGAGAGAGAGAGAACAAACTCTGAACACGGTGTGTACAGTATTAAGAAAACCATATTGAAGTGAATGCATAATAGCCATGATGCAAAACAGATAAAGTCTAGCATGTGCCCTGTGAACCACAGAAGCTCTGGTAACTCACTAAAGGTTTTAGCTAAAAGATTAGTGATCCTGTAAACGTTTCATCACCAGGGACCAATGCGACTTGGAGACCCTCCAGCACTGTAGGCTATTTATCAAGTAACTCAGTAACAGCTCAGTTTTAGTGCAAATGAATTTTAAGTAGAGTTACCTTCTGTCTGTCTGTAGAATGTAGAGTCACTACCACAAATGCTTCCTTCATTTTCTATGCTTCCTTCAAAAAAGCTTCCTTCTGCTCAAAAAGACAACACAACACATATTGTATATGAATATTCAATATATTATTAGATTAAAGTACTCTTTCAAAAAGTAGTGGTGTTTCTAACTACACCACATGTATAGAGGAGCAGTCTGAAAATTCCTGTTTGAATTTCAGCTGTTATACAAAATGTTATTTCTTTTATATGAAAGATTTCTCAGAGAGAGAGCGAGAGCGCGAGGGGATGAAGTTACTTAAATGCAGAACTTGTAAAATGAAAGCTAGTGCAGTGAACTTGCTTTTAACATGACATTTGGGACTTGAAACAGATCCTGGATTTTAAAGGCCACTACTGTATAAATAAAACAAACCCAGACATTTAAACTTGTATTTATCTTCAAATGAAACAAGAGGGTTATCTTACAGTCATACTGAAAATAGAAAAAGAAAGTTAACAATGACATTTAGACGCTGAGACCTACAGAAAGGTCTCCTATATCCTGCACATCCTTACTTACGTATCCTGCATGTTATTACTCATGGGAGCAGTCTCATTTAAAGGCATAATTCAATGAGACTACTTTTGAGCATAAGGAATGCCTCGATGCGTAAGGTTTTGCAGGATCAGTCTCCTGACTTTTTTAATTTTCTGCATGTATTTAAATTAATTCTTTTGTTCCATTTGCATCACACCCACTAAATGTAGCATGCCCGCCTTTATTTTTTCATTTCCATTTTTGAAGGGTTTTTTTTTAAAATTGATAGGAAGAAAAAAGCAACCTATCAAAATGGAATCTTTTAGGATGGCATTCTCCTGTTCTACCTACAGGCTTGCCATGTACTTCTAAGTAGTATTAAAAGAGCCACTTAGAGTTGCCTTCACCCAGGTGCACACAGCCTTGCTATTATTTTTGTTTTCCAAGTGCTTAGCTTATCTTCAAGAAAGAAAGAAAGAAAGACTTTATAGAAAACATAAACCTTATAGAAAACAGAAACTCTGTACAGATTTCAGTCGAATTACACTAGGGATGAATTTGGCCCAGTGGAGGCAAATCATCTCAGAAAGATTAGTCTGGTTCTGCTTCTGAATCATTTGCTATTCAATTACAGTAAATGTGCCAGCATGACAGCAAGAAAGCACTGTCCCCAAACTCACTGAATACCTTCTATTACTAGTTTTATAGGGGGATGCATCATCTCTCCATAGTTAGGAAAGAATTACATCTCATTCTAGAAGGCTGATATTGATATTAAACTGATCACATTTCTTCCCCATTTACTAGAGAAACTTCAAATGTAAGCCGCAGCTGCAATTCACATGGGGCCAAATTCTATGGCAAACAGGCAAAACTCCAGTTGTGGTATGGACTGCAGGATCTGGCCTTAGTCAATTTTTGCATTAAGTGCAATGGAAAACCTCAACTCCAAAATTCTGTGCTCATTCATTATCTACACAAAACTCTCAGAGCCCTAAGCATGTTCATGGAGAGCAGAAACAGCTGAAATTTGCTTTGTAGATCTGAGAGCAGAATTTTGCCTTATAGATTATCTAAATTTTGATTAGTTAAATAGCTCAAACCTAGCCCAACTCCCTAGATATTTAACTTCTTATATTCCCCCACTGTAATTCTTCTGAAAAATTGTAATTTTCTTTCCCCCCCCCAAAAATACTCTCAGAACTCTGATTGGGTCCATCATGTGAGTTAATGTGGATGAGCCTATAAAAAATTAAAACTGTACTGTACCTATTATTTCAGAACAAGCACCACTCTCCAGTCTATGTTTTCTGTATAAATTCTTCAGGACTTTGGCACTACCAAAACGCTTGAAGCGACTTTTCACATTATTGTAATACCATTCCAGGGACTGGGTCCTTAGGAGTCTAAAGAGAATAAATGAGCAACATTTCAGAATGTTTAAAATGAGTCTACATCAAATAAAAACAAAAACTCTCCCTGGTCTTTCCTAAAAATTATATCTACTGGGCTCTCTTAAATCAAAAGCCTTATAGCATAATATTTTTGAACACTGTTTCTTGGTTTTAGCTTGAACAAGTCTGGTTTTATGGCAAAATAAGTACTGGAAATGTAGCTAAAAGTCATTCTGATTACAGTAGTAAGTTGCTTGGTTACCATATCAAAATAGCAGATTATATATTTTAACAAATGTACTGAATACATTTTGAAAGGCCATCTACAGTATTATAGAATAACATATGAGGCTATGGTTTTAAAAGTGTTTAATATTTACATGGATTTATAAATAACTCACTATGGAAAGAATAGTTAGTTAAGACTTTACAGGGCCTGGAGAACTCTCTTTTTCTCTTTGATTAAGATTTTTTTAAGATTTATTTTTCATAAACATATACAAACATTTACAGAAAAGAGCTCATTGGACAAGGTCTGTACAAAGAATCTTAACTCATTGCAAACAAATAAGAATGGGTGGAAAACTTTATTGGGAAACATTCAAATAAATAGTGAAAGTGCCATCATACTGGAATGTGTAAGAGCAAGAACTGGGAGGACAACAAGCCAAAAGACATTGTAAACATCTACATCTTTTCCCAAAAATCAACATGGAACCCGGATTTAGCATCTGTGCTCTGAATGGAAAAAAATCTCTCACCTTTGAGTAGATTGTTCCAAAGCCCACTGAATGGAAAGACTCGCAGAGACTTCAGTGGGCTTTGGATCAGGTCCCAAAAGACCAAGAAGATGATGCAAGCCATATCAGCCCCTTTTATGATAATAAACCATAAGCAAGGGTGCAGGGCTAGCAGCAGAAAGTCTGCGCAGAGAGTGATTGTGGGTAGCCCACAGCTGACTGGCACAGTCTCAAAAATGGTATCATGTGGAAAGAACTCTACGAATTCCCAGCTGTAACTTAAAGCTGACCTCCACCAGCAGTAGCCCCAGGAAAGAAAAGCAGTGTTTGCACCAGTGGGTCTGAATCAACTCCCATGTGTTTTTTTTTTTCACAAATTGATCTGATTTATTTGGTTGTGTACTGTCACATTAGTTTAGTTTATTTTATGCCACACCTACTTACATCAAGTCAGATCACATGTAGCAAAGTGACTGGTATATTCTGATGTGACAGTATAGCATAGCTACAAATGTGACAGTTCCCTCCACCCTTGTAATAATGTTTTTCAGTTACTAAAATGGGAGGGGCAAATCCCATACAAAGTAGGAGACAAGGAGTTTACGTTCTAGAACTTTGTATGTAATTAAGGCAATCTGTTGCTTCCTAAGACCAAGATTTTGAAACTTAGAAGCCAAAAGTTAGCCTTCTAAGACTAACTTAGGTACCTAAATAAGTGGCAGGGCCGGCTCCAGGCACCAGCTTACCAAGCAGGTGCTTGGGGTGGCCACTTCGGAGAGGGGCGGCACATCCAGTTGTTCGGCGGCAATTCGGCGGACGGTCCCTCACTTCTGCTCCTAGTGAAGGACCTCCCGCCGAATTGCCGCCACAGATCGCGATCGCGGCTTTTTTTTGTTTTGTTGTTGTTTTTTTTGCTTGGGGCGGCCAAAACCCTGGAGCCAGCCCTGATAAGTGGCCTCATTATCAGAAGTGCTGGGCACCCAGCAACTCCAACTGACTTAAGCCATGATTTTCAAAAATGGAATCAATGGAATAACTGGCTACTTGATTCAGATGGGGTAATTCACTCCTGACACAACTCTAGTTAGCTTGTATAGTATTAATCGCTTGGAACTTCTGTGGGATTCCTCTCAGGCACCAAAATAAAAACACACTAAGAGAAAGTGGTGATCTCAAAAGAATGTAATCGTAAGACCTGTTTTCTTCAGCAAGTCTGGGTTTCCTTTGCATATATGAGGCAAACGACAATCGACAATTTTTCTCCAACACACGTCATTTGATAAGAAATTGTGTTTTCCTTTGAGGGTACTAACTGTATGGTTCTGCCAGTTATATCATTTTTGTCAATTATCTCCACAGATTCTATGTTATGACCAAGCCCACCGTAAAATACATGACCCAGGAGTTTCACTAAATGTTCCCATTGGTCTCAAGTGTTCAGGGAGATGCCTACAATGCTAAATGGAATAGCACCAAACAGGTTCATTTATATTCTAGTCCACTTACATGTCATCACTGAAAAACATCTGGTAGAGTATACCTATAACCTACTAATGCAGAGTGGAAACTAAATAAAAGTGGTAAAGTTTGTTCGCTGAATTCTTGCACACCAAAGCCCAGCTATAGATTAATTATAGGGCTGCAAATAACAAGAAAATGCATGTATAGCACACAAGTGTCCTTTTTCTGTGTGTCTCGGCTTCAACTAGATTCAAGGCAGCAGCTTTCTCTTACTGTGTTTGCACAGTGCCTAGCACAATGATGCCCCAAGCTTGACTGGGGTCTCTGAGAGCTTGTGTAATACAGATACTCTGTTAGTATACAAATAATACTAAGACTGATACATGTCCTGACAGAGTTGGCCAAAAATCTGTTTTCTATATGACGTCCTCACAGGTCACCTTGGTATGCACATGATCTACAACAGATGAGATATATGGGGCCAATGTCAAAGTGGCGGTCATTGTGCCCAAATCTGTTTGATTGTGAAATAGAGGGCTTTTGATTCCCTACGCTGTGGCTGCCAAAAAGCATTTTGTTCAATTGTAGGATCTCTGTGAAGTCCTGATTAGCAGAACTGTGCTTGGCAGCGGGAAACCTGGTAAATCCATGAATTCAGTCAACTTTTACTCAAAAACAGCTTTCAGCATTTCTTCCCACTATGAGAGTTTCTTCCACTTTATGGATCAATAGCATGATTGATAGCACTATTTGCATCCGTGGTATTAGAATTGTGTCAGAAAGGGAAAAATGCTACATCTTCTCTTGCTGAGTTTCATTCAGATTTGTCCACTAATGTTCTGGAGTGTTGGAAGGTTTGGCCTTCAACCTCTGAAATGAACACATGATCTTCATGATGGGTAAAATCAAGTTCATGTGTATGGGAGAGGAGAGAGATGCCCATTATTAGTTGAAATTGCTCCTAGCCTAGGACAGCATTCAAATGCTTGCTTCCCTTAAATGAGCAGTTATTAAATTAATACTCAAGAAACCATGCCTTCAAGTTGACAATCTTCCCAACTACCACTCTGTTCCTAAGCTTTGCTTTATGTGGTAGAAAAGCTTGCAACAAAATTACTTTTGTACCATCTGGCCTGACTTCCTTGACCCTTTTCAATGCACCTTTCAGCTGAAGTATAGCATGGAAAATGAATTAGTATCATTAGACAGATGATGATCTAGCTGTGAGCAGAAGTCAGCAATCCATGCTGACTTTTTTTCCTTTTACATCTGTCAGCAGCCATCGATACCACTGACCACAACAATAGCGACTTGCCTGCAGCTGTTGACTGGACTGGATGAGACTGCACTTCAGTGGCTCCACTTTTTCCTCTCCAAGGTTGTACCCACGCTAGGGAATGTTTATGAAAATTCCTAACACCGTTATCACTAGTGTATCTGCGGCAGTGTTAGCAACATTGGGAGCGCTAGCAGAGATGGCTCCATGGCTCTGGCATACATTTTAGCACCATACTAAGTAGCTTAACGTTGTGCACTAGAGGCATGTGCTTGCTAGCCACCATGCCATCAGGTCTCATTACCACTTTTATGAAAGTATCAAGCTCTTGCAAGTTAGCAACATGAATTCTAGTGCTGAGAGTATCAGGGAGCTACCACAATTGCAGCTGCAGGTTTACGGTAAGCATAATGCTTTAAATTTCTGTATAGGAACTCAGAGATTGTGAGAAGGGCAGATGTGATAGAGCTTGGTGGGAAATGGTTTTCCCATCTCATGAACATTTTTGTGTTTTAAAAAAATATCCAATGCTGCATCAGGATGAACTTGAGATCTTTCAAAAAAAAATTTGATGAAAAAATTCAGAGAGAGAGAGAGAGAGCGAGCGAGCGAGCTCCACTTCAGAATATCCAGTAGACTGGAGGTCAGGATACTTGACTAGGATGTGGGTGATTCAGGTTCAAGTTCCTGGTTTGAATCAGGCAGGGGTTCAAATCCCTGATCCGCCTGTTTCAGATCAGGGACTAGATCCAGGTGAGTTCCCTGATCACCAAGCTATTCTGGGATGAAGCTCTCTCCTTCTCCCTCCGACCCCCCCAAAATTCCATGCTGGACCCGAGAAACCTTTTCCAATTACAGTTAGTTAAAACTGATATGTTCCTGCAAAAACTTTTGGTTTAGATTAATCCAAATTTTCTAATGAAAAACGTTTAGTCAAAAATTTCCTGACCAAGCCAGTGAATGACTAAAAATGAGGCTTGCTTGCCTACGCCACCACATCTGGTTGAGGAGCAAAAATTGGGAATAGTTTTGAAACGTCCTCAGGTCTGGGGGTTGAAAATTTGTAAGAAACCTTATAATCTCCCTTCTGTGATAGTGAGCCACAACAACTCCAAATCTGTGCTTCTATTCTGCATGCATTCTATAACAAATTGCAATGACTCTTCTAAAGCTTTTCAGCCTCTTAACATTCAGATAAGTCACCATGTCCCTGCTGATTTCTACTGTGGAGAAAGGATTTGGAGAAGAGAATAGCCATCCCTATGGATACCAAAATAAAAGTCTTATTCACAAAAGAAATATGGACACTTTCTGCTCATTTCAAAATCCTTTAATGTTGGGTCTGTATTTTAAAGCCATGACTCTTCTACATACTGCAAAAACGGCTTTTCTATGTGCCTAGAATTATGAAAAGCTACATCATAGCAACCACCAAATCTTACACTGAAGCACTTTCCCCCTCTTATCTATATTGCAGTGTGTGCAAATTCTTTCCATGAAATAAAAAGTTCATATTTAAAGACTATTAGTCATAC